CCGATTATTATCAATACATTTCCCACTCTTTCTTCCATCAAGGCAAAGATAGTTCACGCTGAAATGGGTCACACTCTATGTTAGATTCTTAAAAACTGCCTCACTCTATTTAAGAATTCCTCCTTTTTTTGTCTTTGTAACTCTCTTGTAATACATCAGATCTTCGGCACGAATATAACCTAATGGTGTTGCAAGTACTGTAAAACTCTTACTAAAACATACGATTCTCAAAAATGTTATAAAAAATGTCGAAAACGACTGCTGTATACTTTGGATTCTTTAAAGGGGGGAATGGCGTACTTTGCATCTGAAGAGCGGGAACAAATATATTTCTTAGGAAATTTTATTTTGAGACGCAAAAACGAAAAGTCTTTCGTAAGCACTGGTGAATATCTTTAAATTTCAAGTGCGTTGTCGAATAAGTTGTTTTCAGAAAGTATACACTTTTGAAGAGAACAGTTGTCCCCCATCATTCTTCCAATTGCAAATCTGTCTCTCAGCTAAAACACCCAAGAAATGCTTGAAACTAATGCCAGAAACATTCTTCGATACTCCATTTGACTGTCAAGTTGCCAGCGTTTGTCCTATCAATGATTTCTCACTACCCAAGGGATCGACTTGATTTTATGTGCAACGTCGCTTCCTTGTTGGCTATCTTTCTGATCCCTGAGTTCAATTTGTGATGTGCGTCTGACGTTTTCAGTCTGAGCCGATTGCGTCATCAGCGAAGGCATCTTTACAACAAAATCAACAAATGTAACAACGGTATAGACAAAATAAAACAGAAGTAATAAATGCATAATTCATATTGACAGGCAGTTTTGTATATTGAAAAGATTTTAGTATACAGACCTGAGAGCAACATTGCTGGGGACAAAATATGATTCAGGCATATGATTCAGGCATAGTATATATAGATTATCAACAAGTTTGACATTCACAATAACATGCATACGCATGTTTTAAAGCACATTTCTGTATACAAAAGAAGGAGTCATCTAATTCACAACTCTCTGCGGACTGAGAATAGAACAGAACAGCGTCCATGTCTGCAGAGTGGAGTACAGGCAGGACGAAGCAACCAAAATGGTGTTTGAAAATCGTTTCAAATTCTGACCATTCAAATGGAAATTCACGGAATAATGTGTTGTTTCAGCTTAACCTTTTGCAGTTCCTAGTATCTTAAGCCATAAATAGTATACAAGCAATTATGCTCCTTACCGTTTAAAAAGGTTGTACAATCCAAACTTCCCCATTTGTCAATCTGTATCCTTTACACGAATCAAAATGAGACTTCTTTTTAAATAAAAAGGGGGGGGGGTGTACGCTTTCCCGGGGGGGGGGGGGTGGGGTGGGGGGGGACTATTTGATCGGAAAAGAAAAGACAATAGGGTTGGGCATCACAAAAAGAAATTTAAAAAATAAGAAGAGGCTCCCTATTGCAACTATGCCACTGGCACAATATACGTTTTATAATTATGTGCACAAAATAGTTTTCACCGGTTACAATCTAAGTCAGTAAAGCATATTATTTGGTGTGCAATGCACCACCCATGGACTTCCACCCCCCCCCCCCCCCCCCCCTTTCTCCCAGCAATCGCTCTCGAGTAATCTGATCATCATAAACACATGTTTTAATCCAACACACACACACATTCTCACTGAAAAAAAATAAACAAACACAAACGACTTTCCCAATATACACGATTATATGATCAATATAATAATAGGAAGAAGAGATGGAGGGTGGGCGGTACCAACAAATCAAGGAACTAGCAGAAAATAAGCGAAAAGGGTTAAAAAAATTAATTTAAAAAAACAAAGAAAAAGAAAGTATAACTTGATTGAATCTCACAAACATCAGCACAGAGTCAATTTTTTAAAGCAGGCCAACTTGAAGTATGACTTATTATAAGGGGCTCATTTAAAATCTGTCGGTCTTTCATACCCTGACATTGAGAAATTACCAACCGAGACACCGTGCACGTGCAACTTTCCTAAAGCAATACAAATGGAGACAATAGTATTTATGCACACTCATAAGTAAAACAAAGTTATGAAGTGACTGATGAAGTGTCATTTTATAAAAGCAAAGAGATAATACAGCCAAATGAAACTATCTACATTTAACGTCATTCAAATACATGGAAATAAAAAGCCATGGGAAGCTATCTACATTGTATCTACATGATAAAAATAGTGCAACGAAGGATGGACTAAATCGACGAATGTATCTGTGTATATAACCTATGTACAAAACAATAGTGAAAGAAAATAAAACAAAACAAAAAAAGCCGAAGATCAAGCAGATATGAAAGAAACTAGTCACAAAGCAAAATTTAGATCTTTACAGAAGACCCTTCACAGGAATAGAACTGAAATTCAAACAGTCACTGGAAACTAAATCGTGTGCTGTAGCGGCGGACATGCACAGTCGCAATGAACTGAGAAACTGAAATATCAAAACCATGGCACACACTTCAATAATTTATCCTTCAACTCCTATGTTATTCGTCAACAAGTAACCATCATCCCAACACACCACTGCCTCTGCAGCTCCAGTGTTGCATAGTACACGTCATTGTGCCTCCGGGCTGTGTTGTTCATTTAAAGCATTCGACCCAAGATTTCAAGTTTCACACCAGAACAAACTGCAAATTATGTTTAGCAAAGCTAAGAGAAAGAAGTTGAAAATTGAAACAACCGGTCTGGGAATCTAATTCATACATCTGACTGTGCTGGAGACAGACTGCTGTTTCGGTTTGTTGAATTCGCAATAGAATGCAGAGATCTTGAAAGAAATGCACCATCTTATCTCAGGTCCTAATATTGTAAACATTAATACTCTTGCCATGATTTTGCTTTCATTTAGAAAAGGTTTCAAAATTTATTGGCAGTCTTTCTTTCCCAAAACTATCGCGTCAAATAATCTAAGACTCTTTGCTTGTTTTCTTCAACACCGTAAAAGCGTTCTGAAAATCAAATAGAACAGATAGCAGTAGCGAGGTCAAACATCACATATTAGACAAAACGACATAATTTATTAAAGTCAGCAGAAGACACAAGTCGACCAAAAAAACAAAACGAACGGAAACAACAAAAAAGCTACCATCCTCTCAGAAAAATGTATTACGTAACAGCATGCACACTTTATACCCCCTCAACTTCAAGATTGTTTGACAGTTTGTAGAGATTTGATTTCGAAAATTACAATTTACCCAAACCCATTGAAATGAAAACCAAAGTAAATAGAACATCGACCTCCCTCCCCCTCCACCCCCCCCCCCCACACACACACACACTCACATCCCGACTCGTCTCTCTCTCTCTCTCTCTCTCTCTCTCTCTCTCTCTCTCTCTCTCTCTCTCTCTCTCTCTCTCTCTCTCTCTCTCTCTCTCTCTCTCTCTCTCTCTCTCTCGCCTTCCACCCCCCCCCCTATTTTGGTAAAACTTAACCATTTTTTAAACTCACAAAACAAGTCTCTTTCTTAACGAAAAAAGGTAAATTATGAAACTATCACTTCAATCAAGATGGCAAAAGTAATAAAAATGATGAATAATAGTAAGTAATAGATAATAATAATAATAATAATAATAATAATAATAATAATAATAATAATAATAATATAATAATAATAATAATAATAATAATAATAATAAAAATAGTAATAATAATAAATGTTTTTAAAAAGTTACTGTTAAGATGATAATGACAAAAATAATAATATAATAGTAATAATAATAATAATAACAATAACAATAACAATAACAATAATAATAATAAAAGTAATGTTAAAATAGCAACAATATAGCAATACATTTTTTTTACGACAAAAATACCAATGGTAAAGATAATTTTAATAATAATAATAATAATAACAATAATAATAATAATAATAATAATAATAATAATAATAATAATAAATTTAATATTGATAATACTTTTACTAATGCCGATACTAATAATAATGCTAAACTAACAATAATAATAAAAATATTTTTAAAATAATAGAAATAACAATAAAATAATAATAATAATAATAATAATAATAATAATAATAATAATAATAATAATAATAATGAGAGCCAAGTAATAACAAAACCAAACAGTTACTGTAACAATAACAACAATGACTGCAGCAATATAATGATAGTAGTATAAAGAGAGAAAAATAGAACCTTCATGAATTCACCGGATACGATTATTTTTTTATAAAATAACAAGCATAATATTGTATAATACCATCCAATAATGACCGACTCAAAAAACGAAAGAAAAAATAATAATGTGGAACAAGCTAGGCAAGATGCAGGTGGGAACGAAAGGGGGGCGTTTGAGTGGGGGGGGGGGTGTTGTCCACTGTCTGAAATGGATGGCAGACAAGGGACGATGAGGAAACGCAATTTGCTTGTCTGTGCATGTTGGGCCTGGGATTGTGAGAATTGTTTTCTCTAGGCTTTGAAGCTATGGCTTTGTCTTTTTTTTTCAGTGGGTCGACTTAATCTAAGGAAACAAGCTATTGTACCAAAACTCTTCAACCTAACTATTTTATTAAATTTATTTCATCAAGAAGTATTTTACGAAGTTAAAATGTAAGAGTATTTGTCAACAGACAAAGCTAACACAGTGAGGAAAATGATGAAACTAAAAGGGGACTATCCTGTCGACAATTTCGGGGGCAGAAGGGGTGGCTGAAAAGTTTGCCTATGAGTTTTCAGTCAAATAGAATTCGAAATTAAACTGCATTAGTAAAAAAAAAAATTGAATGTATTAATATAGGCCTACGGCTATGCGCTGAAACAATGCGCTCTTCGAGCAGTTGCCTTCTCACTATGGTCTTCCTAAGCTGTAATAACAAGGATCACTGCCCTAGCAAGGCCATCAGTTTCTCGAATTTCAGAGGAAATGAATCCCCTGTCAAAATGAGTGTAGTGCTAGAATACACACTCACACACACACACACACACACACACACACACACACACACACACACACACACAGGCGTGCCTGTACACTCAAGTATACGTTATTCAAACTTACAATGATATTCCCAGACTTCCAAATTACATAGATCTAGTGCACCTACGTTCTTGATAATAGCGCTGATGAGTTCGGCGTTCTTGTGGACACTGTAATGGCAAAAACTGGGCATGAATGAAACCATTCAAACGACATGTCTTTTCTGCTGAGAACATTGCCTTTGGGACACAAACAGGATCGTCTCTTCATGTCCTGATCACACGTTCTTGCAACTGATCGAAGAGAAGGATAGAAAGGGCGAAGCACACATAATCTCTGGATGAGACTGCACTCTTTGTGCTTTGATCAATTATTATAATAATGTCACCCTTACAGTTTGCATGTACTTCACAGAAGACTCCACCAATCCTTGCTTCTGTTGTTTTTTAGCTCGGCTTCTTTGTAATTGTCAGTGGGAAGTAGATAACGTCATTCCTGTTTGAGCAGTTATCATGCCAAATATCGTTGAGTACAACTAGTAGTAGAGAAATGTTGCGATCAGATTCTATTGTAAAGCATGTAATGTAATTTAGCTGTTTCGTTTTTCAAAATGGCGACCTGAGCTCTCAGTTTGAGGTTTTCCTGCTCCAGATATGCCGCTCTCATCGCGATCTCCTCCTCTTTCTGTCGCCTTGCGTCACGTGATCGTTTCGCGGCTTCGTTGTTCTTCCTTCTCCTATCCCAGTACGCATCGTCTTTTTTCATATTATCCATCATCTTCACTTTCTTCTCCCCATCACTTCCGCTCAGGTCATCGTTTTTTAGCTCCAGACTTCCGGAACTGGAGGTAGTGACGTTGTTGGAGCAGCTCATGCCGGCCAAACCGCTGTTGCTGTTGCCGCTGCCTTCTAGGACAGCACTGGCGTTATTGCTTGAGCTCGACGCTCCGGCCGTGTTATTGGACGCTCCGGAAGACGCAGCCATGCCGGCCGAGGAGTTTGACGCGGCGTTTTCTCGACTCTCTGCTCGGCGCTTCCGCTGCATGAGATGTGACGTCAGCGGGGTTAAAGGGAAGGACGGGAAGCTGGTCGGGGAGGCGGAGTCGTATAGAGAGGGCAACCCCACGGGCGAGGGGGATCCACCCCCACCAGCCATGAGAGAGGAGCTGTACATATTAAAAGGGTCTACGGGGTACATCTTGAAGGGACGTATGGGCGCCACGCGGGCGTCTGATGAGATTCGGTCTATGGGCAGGGAGGGTTTCACATCCTCTTCCCCTGGCGCTGGCGAGTGCTGCGGAGAGTTTTGGTTCGAGTACCTGCCCGTAGTGCCTCCTCCCATGCGGGGAGGGCTGGTGGACGAGCTGACAGGCCTCTGAGCCTGCTGGTGGTGGTGGAGTTCTGGTAGATGATGATCCCGGGGGTGACCCGGAGGCGGATACGTCACAGAGGGCGCGGGGATCGGGTTGCTGTTGCTCGTCGCCCCGGCTGACGCTCCCAGGGAGGCGGACATAGAGTTCACGCTCATGTGAGGCGGCAGCGGGGGCGGTGATGACGTCATGCGCCGCATCTTGACGTCATCGTGGACATCTGATGACGTGCTGTCGGACGATGCTCGGCCTGAGTCGCTGAGCTGGTCGTGGCCCCTAGAGGAGGAAGTGGAGGTTGTGGTCGCAGCCCCCCGGTGGGCTGGCACCTCGTAGGAGGATGACATGCTCAAGTCTAGTGCACCGTCAGACATGGTCATTGAGGTATCTGGGGACACGTAGCTAGACAAATGAAATAAATGCGTATTGAATAAAAAGAAGAAGAAAAGAAGAGAAGAAGAAGAAGAAGAAGAAGAAGAAGAAGAAGAAGAAGAAGAAGAAGAAG